TCTTTCCTACCATCCTACGGATGTACATTCCTTGTGGGTCTGGCGTTGTTTGGAGATGGCCCAATCACACTTAGAATCATGTGTCGATGACCTGATGCCCTTCCTACTGCTGACCTGATTTACATTTCAAGACACCACCAGGTTTTGGTTGAAGCATTCTGCTATGTCTTGCAGTATGCTCCTCAGGCTGAGACATTCCTCCTACCTACCATCCTCTGGGTATGGTTCCTGGGTGGTCAGGTGTTAGTTGGAGATGGTCCAGCTAAGTGAGTCTTCACATGTGTTCTGGCCAGTATCGCTACTCCTACCGAGGACTTGATGAAAAATGCCTTGGGCTGCCAGGTTTTGGACTGGAGATGTCATCCTACCAGGGCATTCTTCGTTTCTACCATCCACTGGGTGTTATTTCATGGTGTATCAGGTGGTGGTTGAGTAGAAAATGTGTGCAAGTGGAGAATGGTTTTTGTACGGAGGCTTGTCTTCCCTACCAATTTCCATTCTGAGGTGAAGAGGTAGGTGATCCTCTGCCTACAGCAGAACTGACGTACAGTTCCAGATATTGCCAGGTGTTGGATGAGGTTGAACTACCACTACAGTCTGTCACACCCTAATGTTTTCCAAAAGGCCACCAAATTTTGTGAAGATACACATAATGTATTAAAAGTTATAGTATATAACGAGTGCAAATGTGTATGTGGACTTGGTATATTTATAAGGGTTAATGGTTGTAGAACGGTTAATGTTTACTGAAAGCTTGCCAAATTCCATGAAGATACATTAATTATTTTCAGAGTCATCTATATACTACTAAAACTCTGAGATTGTTTGTTTGCTTGTCTGTAATTAAATACAGCAAAAACTGCACACAATAGCACCATATTTGTAATGAAATGAGAATAGAAACAGAATAAAACAAGTTTTGTTAAAACCGGGCCACAGGTTACTGAGTTAGCCATTTTTTCGGGTCACTTTTTATGAAAATTTCCAGCATTAGTAATTTTATATCACACTACCGTTTGCGCTCTTTATGAAACTTCTTCGTTCAAATTTATTTCCCTGTCAATGTTCCCATCTTCATTAAAAGGCATAAGATGACAAAAACAAGATCTTGAAGAATTTCTCAATAATGTGCCCTGGTTATGGTAGGTAATTCGAAGAAAAAATAGTGTTTCTGTTTCTTATTTGTAGAAGGTTTAAGAGGAAAGTCCACAACTTAATGAACTAATTGATCACAATACCTGAAAACTCTGACATCACTTTTTTTGAAAAATGAAATGGTTTTTCCTTTTACTCCCGATCAACAATCAAATATCTTTTCTTGAATTATGAATAACATGAATGGATTGAAATATTTAATTAAATTATCTCAAAATAAACCTTCATTTCGGTGCAATATTGAAATTAGCTTGAATTCTTCATAACCTCTGAATAGTAGGTGACCCGACAGGTCACGGGTGGTCTAGTAGTATATATATAATATACTACTAGACCACCATGGTCACATGATGGTCACAAGGTCGTATAACATACACGAGCCTGTTGTGATCGTGTTTAAAATAGTAAGACAATAGTAAAATATTAATATGAAAAAATCATGTCCTCTTGTTAGTCAGCTATTTATTAATCTGAGGTAGTGTACATATTCTGCACTAATTCAAGAATTCTAATAATTTCATGAATCAAGTTATTAGTAAACCATTATTTGAATGTTCCAGAAAGTGTATTTCAAATCTCAACTGTGCTGTGTTCAGCATGATTTTGATAGGCACAATGACCTAGACGTTTTGGATGAAATAGTCTAAAAATATGCTTGAAAGTCATAGAAACTTGTTTGCAAAAAGAGCATGAATCATGTGGAAAAGATAAGGATTGTTGAAGTAAGTGCAGTAAGTAAGTTGAAGTAAGTACATGAATCATGTGGAGAAGATAAGGATTGTTGAAGTAAGTACATGAATCATGTGGAGAAGATAAGGATTGTTGAAGTAAGTACATGAATCATGTGGAGAAGATAAGGATTGTTGAAGTAAGTACTACATCTTTGTAGTAACTTTAAAAAGAAGAGAAAAATTAGGTAAAACACAGTTTCAGTAATGCAATGCAGTAATGGTTTCATAGACTGACAATAGTTACTTCTGTTGTTTTCGTAATGATATAAACATACAATGTTGTTTGATATTAACTTATTTTACATACTGTATAACTATGTATCATATACTTGCATCAAAATATCGTTATATTAATGCATATTTGAAAGTTTCTCTCTGTTATAAAGTTTAAATTGTACTTTTTCATAAAGTTATAACAAAGAACTTTTATATTTGATAAATGTATATATAATACTTCATTATCTTCAGGAGCATTTAAATATATAGTAGTTCACAAAGCAAAAGTTTCTCAACTGAGCAGAGTGTGACGGCTACTGTTGGAGAAACAGTTTTTTGCTAAAAACACTATTTATTTCAAAATACCAGGAATGTAGTTATTTGCATTTGTACACAAATCATCAACATGAGAAGATTTACATGAAGAAAAAGAAATATTTATTCAGTTCAAACTTCTGTATAATATCATAAATATTCGGTGTCATTAATTTTATTCCCAAACAAATGTTTCAAAACTGTTCTGATTATTGATTGAAAGATTACCTAAGTTGTATCTCTTACGTGGCAGCTAAGGCTTGTTTCATGCCTATAGGGTGGTGTTTTGTTTTCTCTCAGGCACTAGCTTACTTGGGCTGCTTTGTTGACTCCCTATCACTGACTGACTATTATGGTTGTACTTTAGCATTTATTTAACATTTTTTGATGTTGACTAACTTCTGGAAGGCAGCACATAGATGCTGCAAAAACACATGGTCACACACACACACACACACAGATTCTCTGTTCACTAGGGTTAAATTAATTCCAGACCACTCGTATACCTAGTCTAAGGTTAACCTTGAGTAAGGACTTTTACCTATCATGTGTCACCTTTTATCTTTCTCAAGTTTCCATTAAGTTCAGTTGTTAACTATTTACTAATCCAAAATTAATGAACTGTCATTAATTCTTTTGACAAACATATGTACAATTGCATTCTTTCAGAGAGATTTGATACTTTTTTTTCCTGTATCCTCTCGTTAGAAAGCAGCCCACGAGATAAACATCCTGGCTAATTATGCACTAATTATGGTTGCATAATTAGTCTCTAACCTTGTTTTTTATAGCTACTATTTCATAACTCTTAATGTCTGTAATAGGAACATTGCAAAGAAAGTTATATTGGATTATGTAGTAATAATTCACTCCAAATGATATTTACATTCTGTGTAATATTAATAATGGTAATAACTTTACCTTTGTTCTTGTTTCAAAATTATTACCACATGGAAAGATTCTATTTAATAAATTATTTAGATTGAATGCAATATCTTCCAGTTAAGTTGTTCAATTATTAGAGAACTACAGGAAATATATGTAATTACAACTGTGTTTTATATTCTAGTGTAAAAAAAAAATCACATTTGTTAAATAACTTGGAGATTACAACAAAAGCTATGGGAAATGTTCAAATAGATTATATTAATTTAAATTAATTAATTATATTAATAATAATAATTAATTATTATATTAGTTTAAAGGTAAAACTAACCAAGGAATGTACAGCTCTGTTCCTAAAGAAATATATTTACAGGTGGAAAATATTTAATTTATGAGATTTGTATGACATTGAAAGATCTTTAACTGATATACTTATTGGACATGAGTTCAGCTCTGTTGCTGTTTAATTGTAGATAGATATTTTGGTTTGTAATAACTACATCAAATAGAATAATCTGTGTAAAAGTTTTTCACATGTCATTTATTTATTTCTGGAAATATTTTTACATTTCACTTAGTTGTTGCTAGTATTGTACAAATTTTGTTAACTTATAAGTATTTTAGTGCAAACACAAACCACTATAAAATGACAAACAATATTGTTTTAATGCTTGGAAAAATTATTTGAGAATGCTTACAGGATGTTTTGGAATTATTTTCAACAGTAGATAAAACCAAGAAAAAGACATTTGATGAATGTTTGGATGTTCCTATTGATGTGGATATTGTGGAAAAAACAGTATTCCTATTTATAGAAGGTAAGAACTAATATCTTAAGTTTCTTTTTAGCTGTATTATGTATATGACTATAGATATTGTGTTTATTTCATGTGTGTTGACCCTAAAGATTCTTATTGTCTTTGTTGTGCATGCATACAAATGTATAGTTGATTTACTTAAAACATTGGCTTAGTATTTTAGGACTAATATACATCAGGTAAATTTCATTACATTTGAGGTTTTTCTTTTCTTTGTAATTACAGACAGTAAGTTCCCACCCATGGGAGGAGGATGCCGCAGTCTCGAATTTGTTTGTAAAGAGAGTGGTCACTCCCGGATCTTTGTAAAGTACGATGTCGCACCTATACATCTGAAGACTACAGCTGTAATTGGTTGCTTTAAACCACTTAAGGTTTGTTCTTAAACCTTAATTGCCTATAAATGATTGATAAACTTATTGATACTAAATCAATTTTTGAAACTGTGGGGCCTGTCCTCTTTTGGTGGAAGAGCCCAAAAATAATGACAGAAGAAACAAAAGAGTTGAAGATGATGATAACCTAACAAAACTATCACTTTACTCTTACATTTGCTTTAAAAACATTATTACAAACAGGTAAAGAAAATATTGATTTTGGTGTTATCACTTGTGAAAATTATTAATATTTATGTAATTATTATCTCTTGTTGACTTTGTAAAATAATTATAATAAACTAATAATAAAGATTTGCATACATGAGATAATTTAATACTTACATAGTGGATCAAAATAGTTTCTATAATATTAAAAAGTTTACAATTCAAACAAGTGCAAGGTAGTCCATCGTGAAAATACATTTTAAAGTAAATGAATATATGAAATTTGCCTCGTTGTTGGTAAGTTTATTATGCTGTCAGTGAGCTATAAAACATTCTCCAAATGATTGAATAATTTTGTTGTATACAGCTATTCAGTCAAGATTAATACCATGTATTAGTGATTTGTTGAAATTTTTGTGTATTGGTCTTTATTTATTGGTCCCCAATTGGTCAGCACTGCAAAACGAATTTTGCTACTCAAGGTGGGCACACCAAAGATAGCCCATTGTGTAGCTTTGTGCATAACAACAACCAGCCTTCCTTACTGGTCTGTAATTTTCTTTAGCCGGTTCATCCTGTGAGAGTAGCTGTTCTTCCGATAGGATCCTCAAAGGAAATTGTTTTTGAAGGAGGGCCCCGACCTTGGCCAATGTACCCAAAAGGACACTATTCAAACTGTAAGTCTACCAGCTGCCAATGTTTTAAGTGTGTCAGAATTTCTTCAGAAATAAAGGTTTTATTTTGTGTAGTTACATTTTGTAATTCAATCACAAAATGTTAGAATATGGTAACATAAGAAGAAAATCAGAATACACAAAAAAACAATTTTATCCTTTATAGTGGTTGCAGAAAACAAGACCCTGGTGAGAATTTTACCAATGTTAGACCCATACCGACACAATAGTAAGTGTACTTATTGATATTTTTATAATGTTTGGCAGGTTCTTTCAGATTTTTCAAGTAAAAATAATGCCAAGTCTAGTCCATTTAATGATATTGAATTAATTAAGTTTTCCACAGTAACTCTTGTAATATTTAACAGAAAAGTTCTTGAGTGATAAGAAATGCTGACTAACTTATTAACTTTACTTGATCATCATCTACTTAATCATTAACAACCTCGACTTACACCAAACACTTCTCCCAAGAATAGGAACTTCCTAGATACTAGGACTACTTATATGAACTTTCACAATCTTAATGTCATACAATCTCTAGCAAATATCTAAATTAAAATATTGAAATATAGTTTACCACAATATTCTAATAAGCAGTATGTTATATTACCTAGTTTGGCACAGATTTAACAACACTGACACAAAAACTTACTTGACAAAAAATAAAAATTAATTATCATATTTAACCTTTCATGATCTAATGACTTTCATTGCAATAAAAAGGTTAGTCGTGAAATCCTAAAGGTTTTTATTTTATTTTTTTGTAGTCAACCCAGTTTTTTTTATTTAAGATGATAAATAAAGATTTTTTTTAACCTATAATACTAAAATTACATCATGTAAATAATGGTGAGATCAGAAGTAACAGCTTTAGAGTTAGAAGCTTTGGAAAAAAACAACATTGTAAGTATCCATTGTAAGATTAAAAGCTAGAATTTTTTGTCATCAGAGAAATAAAAAGGAAGTATTTTGAATAATTCATTAGTTTAAAGGATTACAACATGGGTCAGTATGCTAAAGTTAATAAAGTATTTAAAATTGGCATGTGTAAACACAACATGATAGTAAATGGATTCTAAACCATATATTCTGATTCAAATAATCAATAGTGAAAAATTGACATTTGCAACATTCATGAAGCAGTAGAATCTAAATAGCATGCAGAGTTGACTTATACCCTTCTTATATTTTTTTTTCTAAAAAGAGTGAGTTTTTGTTGATATTTGGCCTGCAAGAACATGATATACAAGTGAAAGAAAAACAAAGAAATACTAGTAATGAATATGAACTGTGTTTGAGTTTTGATTTATCTCTTTATAGAGGACTTGCACATATTCCGTGTGGTTTGTCTTGATCTCAGTGAAACTGTAAGTATATTTTAAATTCTTAAACAACAATTTTATCTAAACCATTATTTGAAAAAATGTGTGTGTTTTTTCACTTATAATTGGCAAACTGCTGGGCTGATTGTCACCAAACATAGCATTGTCGTGTTTTTATGTATGTGCAGGATTTTTTACAGTAGGTGTCTGTGACTTGGTGATAACTTTCAGCAATAAACAAACAGCACAGAGTTCACTTCTTTTGAAATAATGTATTAAAACAAGTCAAATGTACATACAAATGCTCATTACACTGTTGGTTATCATGTTTGTATTCAGAGCTTTAAATAATTCTCTTTTTCGTCAAATTTCACAGACTGGTTCAGTTACTTTATAACACAATTTGACAACACATATTATTCTTCTCTGCTCTGTTATTACAATCTAATCTATGATAATTTCACTCTAGAAATCATCATGTTCTTTATGGCTAATCTCACGCTTACACAGTCTAGATCTATCTATATAACCAAATTTTTAAAGTATATTTATATTCTGACAAAGGCCTAGAACATTCTACACACTATGAGATATTATGATGCAATAATACTTAATAAAAACAATGAGAAAAACTCAGAAGGTTCTAGTAACATGATGCAATAATACAACAATTGAATTACACAAGATATGATTTGTAAACTGTTATGTGAACAAACCTGGAATAAACTGTCACTTCTAAAAAAATAACTGAATTTAACACTCATGTTAAACTGAAACAATTGTGCATATCTAACAATAAATCCCTCTTCATGAAAAATATTTACAATATTTATTATACTATATTCAAAGATTGTTTTCTGTTCATACACAAAGTCCACTCATAACAGTCTGCATCAACATTTGCAGTCCCCTTGATGGCCTCAGTGTGGAAATGTTAGTTCTGGAGGTATAACACTCAACTCCTGATTCTTGCACTATCAATTTTGCACAATTTGGATGTATGCAAGAGGTCCACCTGGATGATGAACTTCTCATAGAGGTAGTCCTGGAATTTCTGGGTGGTAAATAAGATAGCCAGACACTCATTCAGTCACACCTTACATGAAACAGTCCATCTTCATGTTCTTGCAGAAGTACTACTTCAATTCCAACATCTGATGCATCGGCCTGAATGATAAAAGGCTTATTGAAGTCTGGCATTCTAAGGATTGGTGAACTTCATAACATGTTCTTCAACTTCTGGAATGGCAGCTACTGTGATTGTTCCCACTTCACCATATTGTGTTGGCCTTTCTTGGTCAGGTGAGTCAGAGATGCAGTGACTTCAGCATAGTTTGGGATAAACTTCATAACATGTTCTTCAACTTCTGGAATGGCAGCTACTGTGGTTGTTCCCACTTCACCATATTATGTTGGCCTTTCTTGGTCAGGTGAGTCAGAGATGCAGTGACTTCAGCATAGTTTGGGATAAACTTCATATAGTGTCCTGCTAATACCAGGAAGGATTTGACTTGCTGCTTGGTTGTCGGAGCTGGTGCGTCTTGTTTGTGGGTCACAGACCTGCTGCACTCACTCACCCGAACAGCTCTGTGTTTCTTCATGTGGTCTTCCCATCTGGTTGTGTGGGATAGAATGTCATCCACGTAATGCTCAATGTTGGTGGTTTTGTTGGTGGATCTGCCAATAACCTTTACTGAGGTCAATCTTGGTAAAGAACTTGGCCCCATCTAGTTTTAGCATAATAACCTTTGAATTGCCCATAGGTTCAGATTCTAACTTCATCATAAGTTTCAACTTCCAGAAATTTATATAGAAGCGGTTTTAACCATCCCCCTTCTTCATAGTTCTTACTGGTGAACAATAAGCTCAATTTGATGGCTCAGTGATTCTGTTTTCTAACATAAATCAACTTCTTACTTGATCAGGTCTCTCACTGCATAGGGCATCTGGTAGAGCTTCACCTTAACTGGATCCCTGGTCATGGTCTCGATCTTGTGTTGCACAAGGTCTGTCTTACCTGGTCTATCTGTGAAGACGTCTGGGTACTGGCATAGTAGATCTTGTAGCTTTTTTTTTCTCCTTGCTAATTAGATCTTCACTGATGTTGACATCTTTGTACATCTCATCTCCACCCAGCGATCTTAGGTCTAATAGGTCTTTATCTTCCATGACAAAGTCACTGTTTTCTGGTTCTGTGGCTATAACAACCACACTTTTAATATCCATCTGTGATTTAATAGCTATACCTGTTAGGTCTTCTTCCCTATCGAAGTACCTCTTCAACAATTTGATGTGGTAGATCTTGATCTTCTTGTCCACTTTCACCTTATAGACCATTCTGTTGACCACTTCCTGCACTTAAAAAGATCCTTTCCACTGCAGGGTGAGTTTCTTGTTGCCTGCGGATAGCAGAGCCAAGACCTTAGGTCTGACCTTGGAATGTTGATCCTTGGCCTTGTTATAGAAGTGCTTCTGAATGCTGTGAGCTACATACAGACTTTCTTGAGGGAGTTGACAGGGCTCTTCCAGTTGGTTTCTAAGGCCTAATATATACTGACATGTGTTCCTCACTTCTGACTTTTTTTTCTCCTGTCCACAGTTCTATAAATATCTGCACCAGATGTTTTACTGTTCTTCCATACAGTAACTCAAAGAGTAAAATTCCTGTACTCTCTTGAGGGACTTCTTGATAAACAAACAATACTGCCTGCAGGTACCTGTCCCAGTCATGCAGTTGCTCCTTACACATCTTCTTCATTGTCTTTAAGACTGCTGACTCTCTCACAAAGTCTCATTACATCTGGAGTGGTAAAGAGCTGCCTAGTGCTGATGAGTCTGCACACCTTTTGTATCAGTTCTGAGGTAAACTGGGTTCTTCTATCACTCAAGACTTCTTTTCAAAAGCCTACTCTACAGAACATTTCCAGGAGGGCTTCTGCTACTCTCTTCATCATTATCTTTGGCAGTACTATGGCTTCTGGATAACATGTTTCATAGTTGACTACTGTCAGCACATACTGGTTACTCTTGTCAGATACAGGTGATAGTGGTCCGATCAAATCCACAACTATTCTGCTGAATGGCTGTCTTACCTCTAGGTTCTGTCCTTTGGTAGATGTTGCATGATCTGCAGAATCTGGTCATATCTCCAATGACCCTCTAGCCACTAGAATTTGAAGATAGCTGTGTATGCCATCTTCTTTGCTCCTAGATGTCCTCCCACAATTGACTCACGAGCCAACTTCATCAGTTGAGTTTGGTGCTTTCATACACATGGCTTCAAAGTTTTCCACATAGTATGGAGTATCTTTGTAGTTAGCTCCAGCTGTTTTATGTTGAGATTTCTGCTGTTGTTTGCTGGTGATGAGCCTGCACTAACTTGCAGTGTAATGTGCCTCATTTTATAACAAGCATAGCATTTCTTCTCCCTTCTGTTTGTTGATTTGTCACCTATAGTGGCATCCTGCATCTGGTCAGCCACCGCTGGTTTCATCTTCAACTGGTTATTCTTGGACTTGCCAGTTATATTCCCTCCGTGTGCTTCCATATACTGTTCTGCCAGCTTGATCATCTTGTCCATGTCTCTACAATATTTGTGCCACCACTACATCTGTGCGTAGGTATGCCTATTTGCTGGTTGTCTACTTCTACTGCAATTTACCACTGTAGATCCTGGCTGGCTCACTACAACCAGGTTTTTGTGTATTGGAAAGATTCTTTACAGTAGGTGTATGTGACTTGTTGGTGATAAATGTCAGCAATAAACAAATAGCACAGAGTCCACTTGTTTTAAAATAATATATTAAATCAAGTCAAACGTGTTAACTACACTGTTCATTACACTGTTGGTTATCACAATTGTATTCAGAGCTTTAAATATTGTCTCTCTTTCATCAGATTTTGCACAGAGTGGTTCCTTTAGAACACAGTTTGACAAGACAAATTATTCTTATCTGCTCTTTTATTACAATACAATCTGTGATAATTTCACTTTAGAAATTGCCACTATATGCTCTTTATAGATAAACTCAAAATCATACAATCTAGATCTAATGATCTATCTATCGAACTAAATTTTAAATACATATTTATACCTCGACAGAAGCCTAAAATGTTCTGCACACTATGTTATGATGCAATAATGCTCAATTAAAACAGCGAGAAAATGGTTCAATTAACATGACACAATACTACAACAATTGAACTTCACAACATATGATTCATAGACAGTTATATAAACAAACCTGTGACAAAGTATCGCTTCTAAAAATATCTAAATTTAACACAGTCATGTATGTATATCTAACAAGCATGTAACCTTAGTGTCTCCTAGGGAGTATAATTGAGGGCATTCATTTGGATGTAACTGCTATGTGTTCTTTCAAAACATCTTTTATATCTGATTCTTCTTGGTTTCAGAACTATTGTGATGCTAGTTTTGAACAATGATTAATTCAGTTTATATGTGATGTTGTTGAAAGATTGCTAAAGCAGAAATTTAAAGTTTTATCACTACTTTGATTTTAATAGCTATGATCTTCATATATATCTCAAGTACAAAATTATAAGTTTCAACATTGCAAGGTTTAAATTTTGAATAAAAAAAAAGTCATTTCTGTACCCTTCTAACATTGAAGTTCGTTTATTAAAAGGTAATGACTAAAACTTGGTAATGTGCATTATAAAGGTTTATAATGTGATATTACCAAAAAAAAGTAATCTTATATTTAATGTTTTTTTTTCAGTGATGCATTTTGTTTATTATAGTATTGTCTTTCCAGTTTAATGTCACATGTATTTTATTTTTACCTAGCCTTTAGAACTAAATGTCGGGAATGAGAAGTCGGCTACTATCCCTAGTCCTGCACGAAGTCAATCTACCATTAAGTAAGTGAATAATTTTTGTAACCTCGATGGAGTTTAATTTTGAAAAGTTTAGAAATAATTACTTTTATGAGTTAAAAAGTCTAATAATAAAACTACTAATAGTTCATCTGGTTTTGAATAAGGTAATTATCAATGTGCATTAATTTCAACCATGGTTTGTCCAAATCTCTTATACGAATTGTGTATTTTGTTGCAATTAATAAATGATATCTTTAATAGAAATGTTTTATGAAAATGGTTGGAAAGGATAGTAAATTTCCAGTGTGTTATATTGTTGCGTTAACTTTTTGTGAACTTGGAAGCCATTTGTAACTAAAACAATATTAAACATTAATTAATTTATGCTTCATGTTTTTAACATGTAAATTGGTTGAATATTTAGCAAGATTTGTTTTTAAAACCTTAATTTTTTTATTCTTCAAATTAAAGAATAAAATAATATAAAATTGCCTGTTTTGTAAAATAAATTAATTCTTGATATCAAGAAAGCTCTTTAAAAAAAAAAAATAGTTCTGAGAAATAAACAAAATAGAACCAAATCAATGTTTTCTACATAACACACCCCTTTTTTAAAGAATTAAATATCTTAAAGTTTAATATTTTTAGTTGCTTGTTGTGAAAAATATCTATTTAACAAAGAAAATATAAAAGTCCTTTTTGTTTTCAACTCTTACAGAGTTTCAGTTTGTAGAATAGGCACTGGTATGATGTTTCATCATACTTGTTTGTCTTCGTTAAATGTATGAAAACATCAATCCTGAGCCAATCATAACAAAACCCTAGAGTAAAAAAAACTGAACCCACTAATAAAAACTCAACCTAATAAATGTTTTTTATTAGGTTGCTGTGTATGCCTCATTAACAGTGGTGTAGTTGAAATGTTATAAATTCATAAATTAGTAACCAATATTGCATAAGTCTTACTGTGATATTTATATCAATAATATCATGTTTTCTCAGCTTAGATATTTGTACTGTAGAAAAGAGCCTTTTTTTTTTTTTTACATTACAAGGGTTTTTATCATTATATGACCTCTGAACCTCTTTAAATAGGATCGTTTGTGGAGAACCGTACTCTCTCCACCTAAAGGTGAAGCTTCAAGAAGTGAAAGGACAGAAGGCTCCTTGTCCTATATCAGAAACTGCTATAAGAGTGAGTATCCTGTACATGAAGCAATACAAAAAAGGCAAATTTCAATACATTATAAACTAATATTGCCATTCAAATGAAATTTGCTGGCAATTCATTTTTTTTTTCTGCATACATTTTCTTGTTCATTGGAGTTTGAGTAGACAGATTTTTTATGCCTTGTGAAGCAGTTGTATGTCATATTAGTTTATTCAGTCATTTCAAACTTGTGGAAGGTCAATCTTATTAAAGTGAGTTGGTTTTAATGTTATCTTATATACACTTCTATATATGACATGAATAACCAATCAGAAGCTCAGAATATCCCCATAGAGGCTTTCTCAGCCATTTTATATTCTTAGAATGCCATTTCTTTCTTTTGAACCAAGATTTCAAGCAGATAGGTTGTGTCTTTAGTCTGCTCGAAAATTCATATTTTTTTAGAGTAAAATACATCCTAGTAACTAAGCGTGATAAATTATAGTTAAATTCTATCGTATTGATGTAATAATTTATGATTTTTTAGTTATTCAAATGTGTGTGTGTGTGTGTATATATATATAAAACCTAAAAAAAAAAATTGGTTCAAATCCTCCACGTGTATTACATAGCTTTTATAAGTATTTGTATCATTATGTATGCCCATTAGCCACTTGTTCCCTCTTGCCAGAGCATGAATAATGAATAATAGCAGACTGTTGAAAGTCTTGAAAGTAAATATAACATTTTGTCCCTAATTTGGTAAGAAACATCTGTATACCATGAATGAAAGAAAACTGTATTTAATCGTTTTTTTAGCTATTCTCTTAATTTTATGCTGGTATATTGTATATTACAAATGATATCACTGCACTACTACAACCAAACTTGTACACACATATTTGTTTACATCAAATAAACCATTTCCTCCTCAATCCTCTCCCAGAGGATTGGGAGGTACTGTAAGTTAGTAGGCTTAATAATGGAATTATAATGTGGTTGATTAAATGCAACTACATTTGAGTTGATTAGTGTCAATTCATGAATAAATATTGCAACAAAATACTATAATTTTGTCTTGCTAAATGAGCAAATACCAGTGCATATAATATCTAATACTTCAGCCATGATAAAGTACCACAGTCAAATCTTTGGGCCTGGTGATTAGGGTACTCGACTAATAATCTGTATGTCACTGAACATGCTTGACCTTTCAGCTCATTATAGTGGTCAATCTCACTGTTTGTTGATAAAGAATAGCCCAAGAGTTGGTGATAGGTGGTATTGATTATCTGCATTCTCGGCCTGACATGGCCAGGTGGTTAGAGTGCTTGACTCTCAATCTGCAGGTTGCGGGTTCATATCCCCGTCCTACCAAACATGCTCACGTTTTCAGTTGTGGGGGCATTATAATGTGAAGGTCAATTCCACTATTCATTGATAAAAGAATAGCTCAAGAGTTGGTGATGGGTGATGATGACTAGCTGCATTTCCCTCTAGTCTTACACTGCTAAATTAGGGATGGCTAGTATAGCTAGCCCTCGTATAGCTTTGTGCAAAATTTGGAACAAGCCCACATATCTGCATTCTCACTAGTTTATCACTTGAAAATTGGGGGCAGCTAGCATAGACATCCCTCAAGTAGCTTTTCATGTCTCACTAGTTTATCACTTGAAAATTGGGGGCATAGACATCCCTCAAGTAGCTTTTCATGTCTCACTAGTTTATCACTTAAAAATTGGGGGCATAGACATCCCTCAAGTAGCTTTTCATGAAAATTCAACAGAGATATTTTAGTATTAGGATTGCTGGTCGTTTTTATGTATCTAAAGTGCTCTACTGTTTAAAATATTAGGTTCCTGTACACAACTACAAACAGCTGGAAGTGGAAGTGTGGGTGAAAGATAAATTAGGAAGAAAATTTGCCAATGTTTCATCTTTCAACTTGCTTTGGGAACTCTCTGATTACACGTTGGCAAAGCTGAAAGATTACAGAGATGTTGTTATTGAATCTGATGGATCAAAGGGTTATCGAAAGGTTCATCGAAGTACGTGCAATTTAACCTAATTATGTGTATATGAAAATAGATATCAAAAACATTGTTTAAAAGATTTTTCTACCACAATTTGAAGTTTTTGTGTTAGCATTGAACGACTCAATTTTTAAAATAATATAAATTAGTTGCTATTAAGATTACAACTAGTGTATAGCTATATTTTCTAAAGGATGATTCGCTTTTACAGTTAAACTTTAATCAATATTTTACTTTTCGAGTGTGAGAAGAACGGAATTTCAAAGATGATTCTGATGCATTGTACTATATTTTATAAAGACGTTTATTGAACTGGTGTATATAAGTGTTTTACACTCACAAAAAGAAACCTATCATTCTATAGGTATTTGGAGAACTTGTAACATTTTGCTACAATTTAATTCTTTGTGTTGTTAGCCGACACTGGGCAGTTTGTACATAATTGAATAAATAGAGTTGTTTAAACTTTTGTTTAACAACAAGTAAAATCTTTGAATTGTCTATAAAGGATTGGTTTGGTCTGATATTTCATTGTTGGTAGTGTCCAGGGTCACTGATGAGGAGAGGAATTCTTCAAAACTAGCCTGATGCACAGACACACCCCTAATGACAGAATAGACCATTCCAAGCTTTTACTTGTTGTTAAACAAATGTTTAAACAACTATTTATTCAATGACGTTTATTATTAAAGATGTTGTTGAGCCACAATAACTTATCTTATACATATATATATATATATATATATATATATTGCAACAAAATATCACCTTTTTCCTTATAGGTGTTTTTGACTACTATTTTGTTGTTTTGATGCAATAAAATTTTATGCAGTAACTTTTGCTCATCATCTCCAATAAATACATCAAGATCAGCCTTCTTTATTTCATTTAAAGATAAAATATGCTCTGAAATCAATTTTGAGTACTCCCTGGATTTTCCTTTCTATAAGTTTTCTAAATGTTATAAGACAATATTAAAATAATCCTAAATTTTCTTTTTGTGAGAATTGTGATATTTGCTATCTAAATATCCTTTCTTCTCTAATTTATTTACCACCCCTCCAAGAAGTGTGAAATTTAATGTACATTACCATTGTAATGTTGTCATTAAGACAAAGCATAATTTTTATAGCCTTTATAAATAGAAAATCAGACCCCACTTGTCACATCCTCTCTTTTAGAAATTGCCAGTAGTTTCTCTTGGACATTTAATACTATATTACTTATAACCAATAGAAAACCAAGGTTTTAATCTATTAAATTACTTTTATATTAAGTGATATTTTCTGTACAGAGAATTGTTTATTTCGCTTCCAGTAGACATCGTCTGCTTTTGCATATTATTATTCTTGTTCTTTGGTGCAATATTTGATTGAATAAAAAAATTATTTAGTGCAGTAGTATCGTTAGTATAAAAAAGTAAGGTTAAGTTACATCGACGGTCAACAGCAAAAAGAAAAGACCCAAGTAAGTATTATATTTCTTATTTTTCATGTGTATTCTTTATTTGTTAGGTTAGATTAGGTGAAATAATAATACAATTTTTTCACGAGGTGTGCTTGTGAGTAGCCCATTTGTTATGTAATTTGATAGAGTTACTATTTGATAGAGTTACATGAGTTACTGGAAAATATCATTTTATAATTATTTAGGTTTAAGATTACCCAAATGAAATTTGAAAATTTTCACACAAATAAAAGTAGTTTTAATCTTAACATGAAAATCACTTTTCACTTGGACTAGTATACAAAACTACTTAATATATTCAGACAAATCTTTATTAATTCTTAATTAAATAACATAAGTTTTTGTGTACAAAAGTCTTCTAATGTTTACTGAAAGTCTGCTAAATTTTGTGAAGATACACTTACTGCATCAAAAGTTGATTAAGAACTCGATTTGACATAGCCTATGTGGAAAGAGTTAATTTATTTCTCACCAGGTGATCTTTAACTATTTACAATTCTGGCATTTTTCTGGGATAAAAATTCAACATATTTTGGAAATTACTTACATGTGAGGTGCCATTTATTTTACTACTATTGAATATTTGCTGTAAACCATACTTCACATATAACAGAATTTAAAACTTGATATTATTTTAATAAGAGAAATATAAAGTGTACGTATTATATCACGTGGATAAAGTGGTAGTCTCGTTTTTAATGATGGATGTGTACTAAATAATATATTATTTGCTGATATATCGTAGTTTATGATGTAGAGAATTCATTATTTAGTATTGTAAAAAATTGTTTGAAGTTTAATGTTATACAGTTTTCTGTAACAGTCAAAAGTCTAACAACATAATTAGTTGAATTTTTAAAGTCTTTCAGAAAGGAGTTGCAATACCTGGACAAAAACTGATCAAATGTTTTAATTCTAGTTATACCAGTTAGTGTTAATATATTTTTCTGAAAGCTAAGCTGTGGACAAAAGTATATTTTTAGTAGTTTCCACTCAGGAGGTTTTTTTTTACTACATGCAATAAATGTAGGACTTGTGTGGTATTAAATATATATATAAGTTGAGTGCAAGATTTCATGAAATAAATATTGTGATATCTACATATTTAATTTGAATTTTTCAGATTATCAGGTGATTTATCCTGAAGGAAAAGCAGGTTTATTGAAAGTTACTGTCAAATTAACCGGCTACAGAGCAGATGTTATTAAGAAAGAAAATGCTCGTCTGTTGGTAAGTAATTTTTTATTGTTGTTTTTGGGCTTTCACAGAGCTATAAAACTTCATTCTAAGCATACGCTTTATTAACCGAATGTGCATGGGGTTGATCCGTTGGACTGACACTACATTGGTGAAAGCATGTTAACTATAATTCTAAATTTACTATGGGTATCTACACAAAATGTGGCAAGCTTTTATAAAAGTATGAACAAAACTGTTGTGCACAAAAAAATCCGGTGTTACAAAAGTATTTGTACTTAAAGATATATCTGAATTTCTGACTCAAACTCTGACAGATTGGAGTGCAAGGTGATGTTCATGTGAAGTATAAAAATACTTTTGCATATTGTAAAGTCTACATTTGCATAACCTCTAGAATCTCTGAAATGCATATCTAGATTTTGGTTTTCATTGTATATCATATTTACTCTCCTTTACCGCAAAATATTTTAAGAGTAAAATTTATAGTTGGTAACTCTGACATCGAATACACAATATCATATTGAATGGCACTCTGCAAAAGATCGTAGCATACACACTTTGACTGCCACTCTTGCACGTAGGTTTAAAAGATAGGAAAGGTGTTGCTTAGTTGTTTTTTTTTTTATAGTTGTTTATTGCAGTTGAAGTATATATATCTTTAAGAATAAGAATTTGGGAAGTGTTAAAAAAGAAATACCTTAAAAATCTTTTAAAAATAAACTTGTCAATAGCTCTGTTTTTTTATTATTACTTTTGCACTGTTTTTCACTACGTCCTGTCTGTGTTTTAGCCACCACTTGACGAACCACTTACTCAGAGTATAGAACTAGATCTGGTGGATGATCCATTAATAAAACCTGATGAAGTATCAGTTTTTAATCACCCGTCTAATAAGGTAAGATTTTTCATTCTATGGAGTGCTGTTCATATCTAGTTATGTTGTGATAAGTTCTGTTTTATCTGGGATTTCCACTTTCTCACTGATGTAGTAGATTTGTATGCTGTTAACACGTGCCAAGCTGTATATTTACAATGTTTGATGGTTAACTTTAAAAAAAAAAGACAATGCTTAGTGAGAGTGGGAAAGAAGTTTCAGAATTAGATATTTTAAAGAAAGAAACATAAGAAATAAATTTATTTGAAGTTGTATTGGAAAATAAGAATGCAAATTTTAATAACTAATTAATTCTAATAAGAAAATTGATGATCAAAAAATTGATTGAAAAAATGATTGAAAATTGATATGAAAAACGTTTTGAACTTTCTATTCCATATAAGAAAGGAAGAGATTGCAAGAAAGAAAACAGTCCAGTGTTTTTGATCTCAACAACATTAAAAACAAAAAAACTGCTGATAATCAAATTTAGTAATTTAATTTTTTATGCTTTTTTGCTAAAAGAAGAATGTAAAAAAAGAATCCTTTACTGTGCATGTCACAAAGTTTTAGTGACTTTCATTCCAAATTTTATTAATCTACTTTGTAGAAAGTTAATTTTTTAGCATTCCTCAAACACATGATCAAAAGCAAGAGTTCCTAACTTATATTTATTTGTAATTTATAATTTTTAAAAACTCTACTCTTTTAAGTATTTGGCAAATATAGTTGTTCATAAGTTTAACTTTATTGCTACAAGCATCCGTTCCTGCATATGTCATGGGGTTTAACTGAGTTAATATTCAGAATTTTATTAAACTACTTTTCTATCGTGGTGTATGAATAAACTTGGCAAAAATGCATAGCTCATAATCCAAATTTTAAATTTTGTAAGTTTTTAAGTTTATGAGGCAGTATTAAAAACAAATCCTGATTTGTCCGTAATATGAGAATTGTGACATTTGCTCTCTAGGTCTCCCCTTATTAACTTATTTACCACTCTTCTGAGAAGTACAAAATTTAATGTAAGTTACTCATTATAATGTTGACATTGCTCAGACAGTGCATAATTTTTATGGCCTTCAATCTTGTTTGGTTACAGAGCCATATACTAGAAATTCAGACTCCTCTTGTCAAGCCCACCTGTCACATCCTCTTTCAGAAATTGCCAATAATTATAAGACATTGTCTATTTTTTGCATATTATTATTCTATGTTCTTTAGTGCATTATTTAATTAAATGAAAAATTATCTAGTGCAGTAGTATCAGTACTATAAAAAAAGTAGTTAAGTTTCATTGACAGTTGACACCATAAAAAAAAAAAAAAAGAAGACCCAGGTAAATATTATATTTCATGTGTATTCGTTACTTATAAAAATAACTAAAATGCAAAAATTAGATATTTTTTAGGTTAGATAAGGTAAAATAAAGAATAATAATAAACTTTTCAATGAGATACACTTGTGAGTAACTCGCGAGTAACCCATTCATTGTGTAATTTGATAGGTTAACATAAACTTCATGTTTGCCAAGTGGTTTACAACTTGTATGGTGGGAATATTAATCAGACACAGAATATTAAATAATAAAGTATAAACAAATGTATAGTGTTATGAGTTTAAAGCTATTTAGTATAAACAAATGAAGTTTTATGCTACAATTTGAAGTTATTCTAGAAAAAAAAAAGGTAATTTATTTTATATTTTGTTATGGTGGTTATGAGGTCAGTCAAATTAATTATGCCTGTTGTATAGTTAGGATAGAGATAATAACAGATAAATTATAAATGTTTACTGAAAAAAAATGTTTGAACTTTATTTAGGAAATTTTTTGAAATTACACAAATGAAATTTGAGATTTTTCAGATGAAGAAAAATATTTTTAATCTTAAGATGAAAATCACTGCACTCGGAACAACTTTGACTACATATATTCATGGAAAAATATTTAATAAAAATAAGTCATTAAAAATTCTGATTTTTTAGTCCACAAATGGCTTAATACTTACTAAAAGCATTATAAATGTCATTAAGATACACAAAACATATTAAAAGTTAACTTATGAAAACTTCAAAGATCAATTTTTAGGTCAAATCAGCAGAGCCTGTAGTGAGAGAGTAAAGGGGTTTTTCACAAGGCATTTGAAAATGCTCAGTAATATGTTATTGTAATCATAAGATCTTTAAAAAAAGCCTTGGATTCTGTATCCAAACAAAAAAAAAACTTTTTTTTTCTTCACATTTATGAACTTTACTTCTTCTAAATTAGTTTGTTTGAAGTGTTTTTTTAAGTAACTATTCTAAATTAATTTCTGATAGATGTTGTTATGGTAAATTTATTACTAATTTTTTCTTGAAAATAATAGCATGTATAATGTTTAGTAGCCTGAAGTAATTTCTGGACTACATGTAATAACTTTTATGATTATACTATATCAAACTATATGTTTTGAAATAAAACTGTATATAATTTTAGTTAGGAGCCAAGGTCATTTGCTTCAGTTAAGGAAAAGGTACTTACAGGCCATTGTTTAGGAAAGTTGATTAAACTTGTGATGTAATAGCTTGTTTGAGATTTTAATCTGTACTTAGTTGGAAATAATTCTACTTTGTGCAGATTATTTGTTTTTTAGGAAACAAATTAAGTCATTTTTTAAGATGTAGAGGGAAATAGGTTTTACCAAATTTTATTGTCACGTTCTACTAGATTAAAGTAAAATAATTTGAGATTAAACAAATATTTGTATTCTCTATTAAAAATATATAAATAATAGTTAAAATATTAAAATAGTTTAAACGGTTTTTGAGAAAATTTATTGATGTTTAAGGCATGAAAAGTTGCAATCGAAACTTGTGCTCCTAGAAGCTACCGTAATATAATGCCTATAAATGTCTGTCATTTTTAAGTTTAGGAATAACTTGTAACTAATGTTTAGTTATTAGTCTGACTTAATGAAAGTAAAAAAAGGTGTAATCCTTTTAGCAAGGATGTTTCTTCTTTGAACCTTTGTGCATGTTCAGGAAAAAAAGCTAATTGTACACATTATTGAATGCTGAAGTATTATTTAAAATATTTTATAACAGAATTTGCTTAACAGGTGGGTAATTTTTCTTTTTGTAGTGGTCAGTGTTAATCAAACACTGAAACTATTTCTTAATCTTTGTTGTGACGAATTTAAAACTCTTGAATAAAATTAACTTCATTCAGTATGTAAAGCAAGAGGTAGTTTTTATGTCTATTTCAAACACTCACTTGTACTATTTTACAAGCATATTTGTGCATCATTGTTCTTCAGAATATAACATTTTTAATTACTGTATTTCTACCATGATAAAAAGGTATCTGAGTAAAAAAGTAATTTTTAGTGTAAACCATGGATAAGAACGTTTTAATTTTTGAGTGTTTTTCGATGACACTTGGAATCATGAAGATAAGTTTTTTTTATTTATTTATTGCTTTCTGTTTTTCCAGGATGAATTCTGATCATCATAAAATCAATATTCTTAAAATTTATACTAACAATATCTTTTAGGAAAGTATACTTTGATAATACAGTACAATATAAGCCTTTTCTGTTGAGGTGGTTGGGCCTTTTTTTGAAAAAAAAATAGAAGAAAAACTAAGCCCTTCTTTCTATGTAGAGGTAGCCATTGCACAGCTTTGATACCAGCAAAAGTTAGTAAAGAACAATGTGCAAGTATCAGGAAGGTAAACTATATAGTATTGTTTTCTCCAATTTTTAACTAAAACTTTTAGTATCTGAATATATTCATAACTCATTCCTTCTTGTTTTCTATACTTAAAAACTATCTGAAATGTTTTACTAACTTCTACTTACTGACCGATTTCACAAGCCTGACTGCGGGTCCATCCAGCCGATGACAGAAATTGAAAGATGCCTTTCACATTAAACTAAAGTGTAATATTCTCTTTCGCAGTGTTAAAGTGGAGTACATACTTCATATTACTCTGAAAATACTTAAATATTTGATAGCAATATGATAATTAAATGATATATATTTATAAAATTTATATGAGGTGGAGGTACAGTGTATGAAACCATAAGAAATAAATATTTTGAAAGATTATTTTGGTGTCTGTTACTCATTACAAAAGATTCACATATGTTAATATTAATAATTATCTCGAATTAACCAAAACTAGAGAACTAATGACCTAAAATTTATATATCTGTCTCTGACTGCTTTATTTACACAAATGTAATGATATTTTCTACCTTAATATCAAGGATTCGAAAGATGTATAAATTATCTTTCCAGAAACACTTATTTAGAACATTTTCAAAACCTAGCTGAATAGTTAGGATCACTTGGTAGATAATTGGGTAAGAAATGTTACCTATAGTGATTAGCCACAAAAAAAAAATGTCAGGTTGAACCCTTAGTCCTCTTTATTGATATGTTATCTGAACTGATAACAACAAGTTAATAAAGTTTGCATTGGCTCTTGAAATCGTGGAAAGTCATGGAATGAGCTCTAAAAATTTCACTAATGGAAATTTTGGTGAAAAGAACCAGTTGTTTTTAAGTCTTTGTCCTGGAAAAGTCCCAAAAGTTCAATTTCATCAAATATCCTCCATGAAATAATTGGCCATAAAAACAAATGTTTAGCTACTAGAACCCTGTATTAGCTATGCCATATGTGTTATGGCCATATTTACTTGTAAGGTTTATGCCTCAATGTAAAATTTTCTGAATTAATGTGTGTTGGGTGGTATCTATATTATAATTTTGTGTTTGAATTAACACTTGTTAGGTGCTATCTGTTTTGTAATAGCTCGTTATTATGATGAAATGATTAATAGTGAATTTTAGCAGAGATGTGGATTTGAATCTTTTAACGTTAAATAGATATTGGTTTCAAAGCTGTGCACTGGCTTACCGAACATTTGAATTTAATGTTGTAATATCATGCTTTTGAACTTTGGCCTCTGGTAATCTGTTAGAACCTTTAAACTTATAATGGTTTTCCGACAGTAAGAACATTTATAGAATTAAAA